AGCAAAAGGGGCTATTGATTGCTATTTTACACCTGATGCCGAAGTTGCCGTGGAAAGTCGAAAGAACAAAGGAAAACAACCAAGAATAGATGAAAATTCGCTCTATCGAGAAGAGTTGAGGAAGAGAGCTTATGAAAAGATTGCAAGGTTCCTATATGAAGCCGCGGTCCCTCTTAATGTGGTCAATTGTCCGGCTTTTGGGGCTATGATTGAGGCCGTTGGAAATTATGGTTCCGGGTTGCCGCCGCCGACGTACTATCAAGTAAGAGGCCCGTTGCTTAAGAATGAGAGAGCACGTGATGAAGATGATGAAAGAGCATGAGCTATCTAGAGCACAATACGGGTGCACATTGATGTGTGATGGGTGGACCGATCGGCGGAGTCGGACTTTGATAAACTTTTTGGTGAACTCTCCTCGTGGCACCGTGTTCCTTCACTTCGTTGATGCATCGAGCTATGCAAAGGATGCAAGAAAAATTCAAGACTTGTTGGAGACTTACACTGAAGCCATTGGAGTAGAAAATGTGGTTCAAATTGTAACCGATAGTGCGGCAGCAAACAAATTGGTCGGGCATTACTTGGAGGGGAAGTATCCACATTTCTAATGGAGTCCTTGTGTCGCACATTGCCTCGACTTGATGTTAGAAGATATTTTCAAAATTCCTTATCTTCAAAGGACATATGAGAGGGCTCTCCGAGTGCACGGCCACATCTACAATCGTCCCACTTTGTTGAACATGATGCGGCACTTTACACAAAAAAAAAAAAAAAGATTTAGTGAAGCCGGCAAAAACCCGTTTTGCAACGGCGTTTTTGACTTTGCAAAAATTTCATGTTCACAAGGCTAATTTGCGAAAAATGTTTGTGTCCGACGATTGGACTAAAAGCAAATGGGCGAAAGAGGAACAAGGCAACAAGGTCGCCGAGATTATGATGATGCCGTCCTTTTGGACTAATGTGACGATTGCTTTAAAATTTGTTTCTCCTCTTGTTGGTGTGCTTCGGATTGTAGATGGTGAGGAAAAGCCCCTGATGGGATATATTTATGAGGCGATGGATAGGGACAAGGAAGTCATTGCATCCGCATTTCAAGGTGTCCAAAGCAAGTATCAGGAGGTGTATGATATTATTGATCGGAGGTGGGATGTTCAATTACATCGACCGTTGCATGCGGCGGGTTTTTTCTTGAATCCGGAGTTCTTCTACAAAGACCCGGGGTGTTGTGGAGCTTCTTCGGAGATTTATAGAGGCTTATACGAGTCCATCCAAAGGTTAGTTCCAAGTATTGCAACACAAGATCAAATTTGTGATGACTTGGACACATATCGAAATGCCGAGGGTCTCTTTGGTTTGCCTATGGCAGTTAGGCAAAGAGCTACAAGGATACCGGCAAATTGGTGGGCGGCGTATGGCTCCGATACACCCGATTTGCAAAAATTTGCTATCAAGGTGTTGAGCCTCACTTGTAGATCGTCCGGATGTGAGAGGAATTGGAGTGTTTTTGAGCACGTAAGTTTTTTAGTCACTCCATTTTTTTATACTGTTATTATTTATTTATTATTATTAATTTATAACAATGTGGAAATTATTGTTTTGATAGATTCATGCGAAGAAAAAAATAACAAATTGGATTATGATCGGCTTAATGACTTGGTGTTTATCAAGTACAATAGGGCATTGCAACGTACTTGATGCGGGGAAAAATTGATCCTATTGCCTTGAAAGATATTGATGAACGCAATGAATGATTGGTGGGTACTAGAGAGGAAGAATATGTGTTTCAAAATGAGGATTTAACTTGGGATGACGTTGCTACGGCCGCCGGGGTTGAGGAGCCGAGAAATAGAACTAGATCAACCGGAAGGAGGTCGGCTTCTAACGCATCATCTTCATCATTCAGGCTTATATGAAGATTGTGAATGGAATGATGATGTTATCAACGATGATGCGGAGAAGAGGATGTGGATGGATATAAGTCAGATGATGATGTCGCCGCCGTCCAAGAACTTTCCCTCGGCTAGTATTTGTTGTAAAAGTGAAACTAATTTTAGTTGTTTCTTTTGGTGTTGCTTTTGTTGGAAGTTGGAACTTGAAACTATGAATATTGTTGTTTATATGCTTATAGGTCATGTTGGATAAGGATGCTACTTGTTAGTTTTTTTAAACTTTATTTATTGTTGTTTTCATTTTAATGTGTGGTGTTTTATTGCATATTTATTAGCTATTATAATTTATATCTCCATAAATAATTGTGTCATAATTTGGTAAAAATGTCTCATATACAACTATACATATATTTCTTTTTTTTTTTTGTAATGGCTCGTCTTGCTTTCATAAGGCGGGCGCCTCGCCGCACGCCTCACGCCATGGCAAATTGGAGCCTTGTCGCCTCGGCTGGCCGCGCGCTATTTTAATCACTGCTGTAGACCAAGCATCACAAGCGATGCCAGGAAAAGAATTGCGGGGGCAGGAGAAAGAAAAGGACGAAAAAAAAATCAGAAAACCAACACCGCTGCCAATGTTGATAACCGGCAGCTGATAACCAGGGGAAAAATAAAAGACAAAAAGAAATAAAGGGTAACACTCAGTGTTCAGTCTACCGACAGAATTAAGGTAGCCTCTTAGTCAGTTAAGGAAAAGGAACAAAGTAATTGAGGGTTTTTGGGAGAAAATAAGAGTAATTAAGTAATATTAGTGAAAGTTGGCAACCTAATAGCTTAAGATGCACTTGGGCGTCTGAGGCCTATTTAGTGCCCGTGTCGCTGAGCATCAGTCACAAGTGCCTTGGCAGCACCTTTCCCATGTGCTCCTGTGCTCCTGAACACAGATATTTGATTCCCCCAGGCCTTAGTGGCATAGCCTTCTTAACCATTTGTTAAAAGGAGACTTCAACTCTTTCTGGACAATCTCTAAGGGATGTGAAAAAAATGCAGAAAGTATGCATATATGTGCATACTAGTTGGCTAAGAGTTAACCAAGTGATTAATTTCAACTAAGCAACATTATTGCTCAATAAACAGAACCGATGAGTCATTATCAAGTATACAGTTCTCTTCCTTTGTCACCAAAAATAAGGTCAGCAAAGCAAGAGACATACACGAAACAATACATTCATGATGTTAAAGGAATTGGGACAGATGCTTCAAAGATCTGTTCATCAGACAACCGAGGCAAGTCAAAATTTTTATTAGCTTCTTTTATGGATACATGGACATGTTTGTGAGGTAAATATTCTCATAATTATACATACACAAGAGTATCTATAAACATGCTTAACAAGATATACTTATATGTGTGAACCCAAGATTATATGTACGAGGTAAGATCATATGAACACACAAATGTTAACTTCAAATCTTCACAAACAACAATAATTCAAGAAAGAGAAACATGAAGAAACAAATAGGTCTACAATACATGTATTTCTCTTTCCGTTGACTCTACCCAAACAAACAAAGAAAACAAGATGAGACTCAGCAGCAACAGTTAATCAAACAACAAGACCTAAGGAAAAACCCTTCATTTTTGTCGAGATCTAAAAATCATCAATTTAACACAGTCATTGTTTACTGGGATCTCCTAAGAAAAACCTAATCGAACTAAACATTCTGCAAACAGAACAAAACATCTCGTATTGAAGGAGATTCGGGCTAATCTGGGTGAAAGATACGCACCTTATTCGAACTATGCAAAAGAGTGTTGAGAAAAGCACTCAAACCGCCCTACGATTTTGCAGGGACTTACCGAAATAAACTTATCGAAACAAACCGATAAACACAAGAGATGAGATTAGAAATGAAAATTGAAATGCATAGTCACAACACAGGTGAGTCGGCTGACCTGCGAGTGAGTGACCCAACGAGCGGAACAAGTTTCGGCCTCGCTTGCCCTTTTCAATTTTGCATCTGATCCTTTCTACTTCCCTCTTTCGTCGTCGTTTTATTTATTTAGGGGGGTATTATTTTAAAGTCAATTTTCATACTTTGAAATATACATTCAGAATAATTATCCTTAACATTAACAAAATTGTTACATAGTAGTATGGGATAACACACTAGGTAAAACAAACTCATAGAAACCAGCTGGCCAAGCCGGGCGAACTGGTTGGTCGAACAGAAGCACAGGTAGGCCCAACTGAGGTCGAACCTTGTTACGAAACAAATAGAGGTGAGCATCGGTGCGGTTCGGTGAAAAACCGCACCGAACCGCAAAAACCGAAAACGAAAATTTTATATTATCCAAATCGAACCGCACCGAAAAAATCGGTTCGGTGCGGTTTCGATTCGGTTATAACCGGAAAAAAAAAAATAAAAAAAAATTAAACAAAATGTATTGAATCCAGCAACATAAGTCCATATACAGCCTAAGCCCATAAGTCCATAATCCATTTCAAAACAAAAACACCACTCACCCCATAAGTCCAACAAGTAGCAACATAATATAAAAAATCCAACAACATAAGTCATATAAAATATTACATAACAGACTCCAGCAATATCCATAACAAAAGTCCAGCAGTAGCAATATCCATAACAAAAGTACTAAGCACAGCAATCAGTCCAGTGAAACAACATCAACAATAAAAAATCCTCAAAACAGAGCAGTAACCCCTCCAGTGAAACAGAGCAGCCCTAAGCACAGTAATCAGTCCAGTGAAACAGAGCAGCCCTCCCTCAAGTGCACTGCATTAAAATCAGCAAATAGAGAAGGTACATAGAACAGAATACATAAAAAAAAAAAATAGTCAAAACACAGCACCACAAAAAAACATATATAGAGTACTTAAAAATAAAATAAAAAACAGTAAATAAAAAACATTGCATTCTTATTCCTCCATTGTGTTCTCATTATCATTGACATCGCTAATCCCAACACCTTGCTATTATTATAGAAAATAAATTAAAAAAGTTAGTCAAGTAATATATAAGTATAACAAAATTAATGTCAAAATAGAACACATTACATTAGAGTACCTTCTTCTATTTTTGCAATGTCTTCTACTAGGCTCTTTCAAGGGACTTGGTCCACTTGGACTTCTTTTTTCTCAACCAATCTTGAGCACATATAAGAGCCTCCACAACTTTAGGAGTTAAAGAACTCCTATAATCATCAAGAACACGACCGTCGGTGCTAAAAGCGGACTTCGATGCCACGGTAAAGACGGGAATCGCCAATACATCCCGTGCAAAACAAGAGAGGATGGGAAATCTACTTTGGTTGAGTTTCCACCACATCAAAATGTCAAAATCATCTTTCTCGACAACAAGAACACTCTCTTTCAAGTAAACATTCAAGTCACACTTACTTTCTACTTCTCCACTCTCTATCTTGTGCCTTTTGAACTTATCCCCCAAGTGATATCTTGATTTATTCTTTGAAAGATTGCGATGAGAAGATTCATTTAAACTTTAAACTCGATTCATCGATTGTGTGGACGTGGCATAATGAGGTTGATAAATCAACTTATAAGCTTCAAACAACTCGTGATCACTCCCCTTCACACTCTAGAAGATCTCCGAACCGTTCTTTTCTCCGTGCTCTTCACAAAGTGCGTACTCAAGGAACTCCAACTTGTAGTGAGGATCAACAAAAACCGCCACATAAATAAGATGGTTCATATTTTTTGGATCCCCCCAATATTTATTATATTTGGATTTCATGTTTTCACCCATTGCTTTGATATCAAGATCATCACTAGCGATCCATTCTCTTAACAAACAATTCACCGAACTAATTTCATGTTAAAATTTATCGAGGTGACATAAGATGTGCCCGAAATCCTCAATGTTAGCTCGTAGAAGTGGGGTAAAATATCAACCATCCTTCTAGCATGCTCCCAATCAACAAATGACGGTGGTCCATGCTTGAGCTCTAGTTTAAAGTAAGGATCTTTGATTTCATACCTCTCAAATGCCCTCTCAAACGTTTGTGCAACATTTAACATCAAGTAAGTGGAGTTCCACCTAGTGCTCACATCTAAGCATAACAAGTTTTTACTTACAATACCTTCATCATCACAACATTCTCGAAATTTTGCCAATCTAGCCGGAGATTGTTTCACAAATCGAACCGCATGACGAATCTTCTTAATGGAATACTTGATTTCATTTATACCGTCCACTACTACCAAATGATAATATGAGCAATGCACCTCATATGAAGAAACTTGCCTTTTACAAAAGCACAACCCCGATAAGTCAATCTACTTTTTAAATATGTAAGACAAGTATCATTAGAAGATGCATTATCGACGGTAATAGAAAACACCTTTGAGATTCCCCAATCACGCAAACAACCATCTATTTGCCTTCCTAAATCCTCACCCTTGTGACTCTCAATGGGACAAAAGTTGATGATCTTTTTATTTATGTTCCATTCTTCATCAATGAAGTGAGCAGTGATACACATATAGTTAATCTTTTGCACGGAAGTCCAAGTATCGGTGGTAATAGAAATAGTTTTTCCAGACCTTTTGAAGTAATTTCTTATTTTTAACTTCTCATCTAGGTATAACTGATAACAATCTTGTGACACAGTCCAACGAAAGGGAATTTTAAACCTAGGTAGTGCGACCGACATGAAGTTTTTGAATCCATCACCACCCGCAAACCAAAATGGAAGCTCATCAACAATGATCATTCTAGCTAGTTGTGACCTAATGGCTTCTTGATCAAATTTCCAACTAATTAAACCCCCTGCCATTTCACCATCCTCAGCCATTAAATGCAAAACCAATTTCGAATGTTTTTTCTCGGTCACATCCGGATTAGCCTTACAAACAGACATATGGTGAAGAAGTGAAGACGTACCATTTCTTCGAGTATCATATCTGTACAGTATTTTGCAATGTTTGCATTTGGCTCTGGATATGTCGTCGACTACCAACTGTTCGAAGTGTTGCCAAACTATGGACCTTATCGAAGTACCATCGTCCCCTGCAATCCCAGGACCAACAGTAGCAGCAGTTGCCTCACTTGAACTCCCTGGACGGCTTCTCTTTAATTTTGAGGTCTGAGTCTGACTTGCAACAGATTCATCATTCGTCGATGGAGATGGACCAGATGGTGGACCTCCTGTCGGTGAATCTTCCGCCATCTCTTCAACAACAAAGTTCTGAACAAAAAGAAACCGCAGTAAGTACTATGTATTTCGCATTTTCACTGACAATATTATACAAAATAATAATAATAATAATAATAATAATAATAATAATAATAATAATAATAATAATAATAATAATAATAAAAGAAAAATAAAAATTGGGTCTAAAATTAGGGCAAAAAATTAATTGTTTCAACTTTCAAGATTGAAGATTTTCAGACCACATGATGGATTTTCGGATCCAATTCTGAAAGAATATGAAGAAATGAGAAACGAAAATAAGAAGACAGAGAGTGAGATTGACCTAAATTGAAGAGTGAACGTCGGACTGCCGGTGGGTGAGCGCGATAGAAAGTGCCGGAAGATAGGTGTTGATCGGGAGTGAGATTGTTGATCGGTGCCGCGGGCAACGAGCGTTGAGAGACTGAGTGAGAGGTGAGAGTTGAGAGAAGTGAGAACGACCGATTTGCGGATGAGAGACAAAGACTGAAAACTGAGTGTAGATTAGGTTTTAGGTTACAAAAATGGTGAAAAGAAATCGTGTAACAAAAATTGTGTAATAAAAATCGTATGTTGCCTGTATGTAATGTAATAAAAGTACCATATTTTCAGTGTGGTTCGATTATAACCGCACCCATCGGACGGAAAACCGAACCGCACCGAATTTTTTTTGGTTTTCTGAAAATGTAATCGAACTGTAACCGAACTCTAAAAAAACCACACCGAACACACCGGTTCGGTGCGGTTTTTCGATTTCGGCTCAGTTTTGCTCACCCCTAGAAACAAGGAGTTTTCTGGCCGAAAAGGACACTAGGGGTTCAAAGAGACATCGACAGTTTGAGTCTCAAACGGTTTGATAGAAACCTGACTTGATGGTACGACTGGTAGCATGAATGAACAGAAAGACGATACTTGAGCTCAACTACACAACATTCTAACTCGAGGTGATTCGGACCAGTCGCACGATTAGGCAGTCTAATAAGGCAGATTAATGGATAAGAAGAAATATTAATAATATAAGGACCACATGTGGATAGGGACACGTGACCTAACATAATTGGGCCGTTCGAGCAGTCCGGGCAACTCACTCGGGCAATTATGGACAACAAGGTAACATCTCCCTATAAAAGGGAGTGAGGTATGCCCTTTAGAACATTATACGCTCTATACACTTACATATTTTTTATCACCACCTACTGAGCTATAACTTAAGCATTGGAAGGTGTCAATAGCAGGTCTTGAAGGGATGCCAACAAAGAAGACAGATTAGGTCGAACCAAGCCAGTCGAGGGAATTTTACGTACCATTTGGCGTCGTCTATGGGAACACTTGTTGAAAAAGCCATCGAAGCTCCATCATCCATGGTGGACGAAATTCTCAGAAAAATTTAGAGCCGACTTTTGATGACGCATGGACCGCCATGCACCCTTCGGAGCAGGCCCACCTCCAGGATTCTCCGACCATCTCAAACCCTCGTGACCCCGACGCATCCTACGGGATTAGAGAGTTCATCAGCAGTCCTCGTCGCAGCAGCAGGCTCGAGTGACCCAGGGAATTGTGGTTCCAGTGCATAGACATAGATAGTGTCAGCCCAGATCGTCAGGTCGACCAAAACTGACCTATATGTACGGGTCATCGAACCGGACCCGTGCTACAAATGGGTCGATTCTAGGTCTTGAAATGTATTTAAACTTGTTGGTTCTGGCTGGAGGAAGGGGTCTTAATTTTTGCCATTTTTTTTATTTTTTAGTATTTCTCTAGGTCGGGTCAACCGTTAAAGACCCGACGACCAAATTGAATTTGGGTGGTTGGATCAATATGATCATTGGAAATCAAACAGTCAGTTTTTATTTTTATTTTTAATTTATTAGCAAGCAAGGTCAAAATCCAATGTCGGGTCAGACCCGGTCCGCACGGGTCCCCAACTATTGGAATTTTAAAATAGCCATTGTCCATTCGACTGTTGAGATCCAACGGTCGTCGCTTATTCGACTCGCCTGACTCGGCGAGTTTACGTCAAAGAAAAAAAAAACTCTATAAATACCCCCACCCCAATTCATTTTTCTTCATCTCATTATTTAACAATCTCTCTTCTCCCTCAGTTCTAGATTCTTTCAATGTTCAATTTTGAGTAATTGTGCTCGGTTTGCAAGAAAATTGGTCCAAATATATATAATGTCTCTTTTTATTGTATAAATTCACAATACTTTCAGTTGCAGTTCTAAAAATTTACTCTCATTTATATCATATTTCAACTCTATTATATTTAATATTTTTTTCTTCAAATTACAAAATGTCGAGCTCCCGTGGTGGTCGTGGCTCGGGCTTTGGACATAAGCGGAAAAATAGCAGCGCATCTTCTTCGAGACCTCCATTGTCGACAATGTCAAGGCTAACGATACTTCTGGATGTTCCCAGTATAGGCAATGATATTGATACTGCGACGATCGAACGCGTATTTGACTCCATTGTTGTGATCCAAGAGGTCGTACACAAGGAGTATGAGCAAGGGTAGTGGCAGTCGTATGAAGACGATTTGGATGATATTGTAGAAGAAAGAGGGACCCCGGAGCCTCAGTAGCACAGTCAACCTCCGGTCGCGGCAATCAATCGAAAGATACGGAATCTGACGTATTTGAACAACATTACACGAAGGTGTCCAATCCAGAAAAAATGTGAGAATCAATATTTTTCTATTTGCAACTATTGTCCAACCAACTCCAAGAAGACGTACGCTTTCAAAAGAGGTGATGGGTACAGAACGTTAAACCGACACATAAGGATTTATCATCCGGTAAAAGTGGAGATTAACACGGCACATACACAACTCCCGAGTAGAAGCGTTGCATCCACGATGACTGGTGCAGGTACGTCTTCTATATTCCATTACTCACATGACAATCATATACGTTATTTAGCCAAATTTGTTTCTGCTTCATATCTTCATTTGGTTATGCTGATAGTGATTTATATGAAAATTTTGCTCAAATGGATTTGAATTCGGCTACACGTCGGGTTCCACGGTCTACTCTTACTCGCGATATTCAAAAAATTGTGGTGAGAAAATTAGTTTTGCAACAAACTATTGAATCTTTAAACCATAGACTATCTATTTGTTGTTATACTTAGTCCAATCATTGGCAAAATAATTACTTTCTGGGAACTACTTGTCATTTGATAGATGATAGTTGAACTTTACAAAAACGTTGAATAGGTTATGTTGGATTCTTGAACGATACTACTTCTTATATCGCTCGTTTAATTTCAAAGGTCTTGGATAAATATAAAATTGGTAAAAAAGTGTTTCCCATTTCTTTTGATAATGTTAGTGCCAATTAGAGATGTCAAAATGGGCCGGTAGGACGGGCATGTGAAAAGCCGGCCCAACCCACCCCCGCCCCCGCCCCCGCGACGGCCTGCGGGCTTGGCGGGCCTGGCCCGCCTTTTTTTTTTTTTTTTAACTGGGTGCAGCCAACCCAATAAGCTAAGCCAAGTTCTTTATCTTTAAAAATAAAAAACCCTGTTGCATTTAAATTACAAAAAAAAAGGATTGCCTTTTATTGCTTAGTTTTGTGGTTCAATTCCACTTTTGAAATATAGATCTTCGAGCCGCCAACACTTTGAATTAAAGCACTCAATTTAATTTCACATGACAAGGAACTTCGAGGCGGAGGATCTGAGCTCCGATAGGTCACGAAGGCGAAGGCTCGGGGAGGAGACTGTAAATGAAGGCCAGACGCAGAGGTTGGAGACGGATCTTGGAGGCGACGGGTAGGCCAGGGTTAGGGTTTTAGAGAGTTTTGTGTAGCTGTGGTGTGTTTTTTTAAGTCTGAATTTGATTCTGGTTTCTAACTAATAAGTTAATAACCATCCAAATCCAATATTAATATTATATATATATGTGTGTGTGTGTGTGTGTGTGTGTGTGGGTATTGTTGGTGCAACAGACTTCAGCCGGGCTCCTCCAACTCGGATGGGCTCCGTACCTGCAAGAATCCAATGCTGGGAGGGGTCCCGGCTTTGGGCCTCTGATGCCTAAGTCAATATCACTCTAAAACTCCAAATCTCAAAAAATAAAGTTTTGAAAAGTGTGCATGTGGGTATCTGTTTGGGCGAAATAACAAAAAAATGGAGAGTATATAAAGAATCTATCTTGCAGGTTGTGGATCTGAACAAGAAAAGGTTATGAAGGTTCGATATGTAAAGTCATCATTGCGGCCCTTCCATACTGGAAAAGCAACGAGGTAAAGAGTGTTTTGTGAGGATGTGTCCAAACGACACATTGAGTCATTGTAGGATTCAACACGAAGGCCCATTCTCTAGCACCATTTTGTCAACATGTGTTTGCGGCAACTGGACCACCAAGGCGATGGCCTATCAGTTAAGTGTGGATTTATTAGTTTATGATGGATTTATGCCAAATATTGTGGAAACTGCAAAAAATATGGTCCGTATAAATGAGGAAAACCAGTATTCTTGCACCGACTACTTTATTTATAGATTGGGCCACTCCCAGCCTCTTTTGTACAGGGGCATATAAAAGGCAGGGGGAAACTAGAAATGATGATGAAAAAATGTAGAGAGAATAGGAAAGTTAAGGACGAAAGAACTAGTATTTTAGTGTAGTTGGAGATGGTGGTAGTAGTCATTGCTTGGGATTTCTTACCCATACTAAGGCCTTTGAACCCTTATATTTATATAAGGGGAGGTCTTAATTACAATATGATTGAAACACGTGGTAGATTCTGATTGACTGCACGGGGATGCGTGACTTGGAAACTAACCTACTTGGGCAAGTGAAGTATCTTTTTGGGCAGTGAGAACCGATACTGGGTGGAAACTCTTTTCACATTAGCTTAGGATTGAGCTCTGCTAGATTGAAATTGGAAATGTGGAGGGGTTGTTGCTTCTGGCTGATGTCGGCGTGGTTACCTCATAGCGCAGAATGAGGTTGTCGTACATGAAAGATATCGAGACCAGCGTCTTCCTATTGG